TTTTTTCTTTAGAGACAGAGTCTTACTTTATCGCCCTCGGTAGAGTGCTGTGACATCACAGTTCACAGCAACCTCCAACTCCTAGACTTATGCTATTTTCTTGCCTCAGCCTCCTGTGTAGCTGGGACCACACGTGCCCATCACAACACCTGGCTATTTTTTGTTGCAGTTTGGCCAGGGTTGGGCTCAAACCCGCCACCCTCTGTATATGGGGCTGGCACCCTACTCACTGAGCCACAGGCGCTGCCCTGCTATCACGTTCTGCTCTCTAATATTTCTTTTGTACTCTTTTGGAGTTTATCTTGCTGTTAATCCTCCTTGCTAATGATTGGAGATGATTGGATCATTAATTCTCAGCTCCTTCTTACTGATTACACATTTCTCTCCAAGCATTCATTGTGCGTCTTGCATTTGCCCCAGCATTCATTTCAAAATACTTCTCATGTTCATCACATTTCTTGTTTGAGCTGTGGGGATGTTCTCATTATTGTTTTTTTCATAATTTCTATCTTAATTACACTGTGGTCAGACACATACCTTAGGTATTATAATTTGGAAATTTGTGGAGACTTGCTTCATACCTCCATATCTGAGTCATTTTTGTAAATGCTGTGTGTTTTGTTTTGTTTTTTTAAATTGAGGTAAGGTTTTTATTGAGGTACACACAATGCAGTTACAGGTTCAAGTGTACAGTCCAACACCCTTTGGCAAATGCATACAGCCACGTAATTCTCAGTCCCATAAATTCATAGAAAATTCTAATCACCCCAGAAAGTTCTCTCATGCCCATTCCCAATCTGTTTCCATCCCCAATTCTCCCTTCCCTTCTAGAGACCAGACAAAAGTGATTAGTTTTGCCTGTTCAGGAATTTCATATAAATGGAATCAAAGAGTAAACAATACTTTGTGTCTGCCTTCTTTCTCTCAGCATCATGATGAGATACATTTACACTCTTGCCTATATCAATAGGTCATTTCCTTTTATTTCTGATTAGCGTTCCAGTCTGTGGTTATGTCATAGTCTGTTTATCCATTCGCTCATAGGTGGACACTTTGTTTCTAATTTGGCTATTATAAATAAAGCTACTATAAACATTTGTAGGTAAGTATGGTTTTTTTTTTTTTTTTTTTTGAGATATGTTGCCCAGGCTGGAGTGCAGTGGCCTTAACATAGCTCATTCCAATCCCAGACTCCTGAGCTCAGGTTATTCTCCTGCCTTAGCCTCCTGAGTAACTGGGACTACAGGAGTGCCCCAACACACCTGGCTGGTTTTATTCTTATTTTTTGTGTATTTTGTAGAGACTGGGTCTCACTATATTGCTCAGGGTGGTCTCAAACTCCTAGCCTCCAGCCATTCTCCTACCTCAGCCTCAACCAAAGTGCTAGGATTATAGGCTTGAGCCACTGCACCCGGCCTCATTTATTTTTTTTTGTCATGGCTCTTACATAAACACTTAGGAGTGGAATCACTAACCATGGAGTGGATCAATGTTTTCTTTTCTAAGAATCTGCCAAATTGTCTTCCAAAGGGCCTGCACCATTTTACACTCCCCCCAGTGATGCATGAGAGTTCCAGCAGCTCTGTATGTTACTAAGACTTGGTATTGTCATTCTTTTCAATTTGGGCCGTTCTGGTAGTTATGTGTGTTTTGGAAGGATTCTGTACCCTGCACATACTAAGCACAATGTTCTGTATATGGCCATTAAACAAAGTGTGTTATTCATGTTGTGCAAATCATTTATATCCTTTAAAAAAAATTTTGTCCTACTACTTTCTAAAGGTCACCTTAAAATCCCTTTGAAAAATGAAATTTGTAGATTTTACTTTAGTTATTTCACCCCTTACTTACATATTTTGAGAATACCTTAATGGATACATACATGTTGAAATACATTCTTATGAATATTGAATATAAATTCTTAGCAGTACATTTTTATTAGGATAATTTATTAGCAAAAAGCATAATGGCAATTCTTTGTATTCTTGGGCCCTCAGTCTCCCCTCTTTGCCTTTTGGTATCTGTATCTCCCAATCACAGTGGGTCTTTCCAGAATCCTTCCCTCCATTCTCCAGCTACAAGGTCCTGAGACAGATACGAATTAAAAATCTCAAATGCAGTTAAGAAGACAAAATTGGGTCAACCACAGCTGAATACTAAACTAAGCCAGAAAATCCCATATAGCCACCATTTCCTGACTTGACTTTTCAGACACTGGAAAACGTCCACAGCGTGGTTCCTCTAAACCTCCCAGGACAGGGCTCCTCTCTCTGAAACCCTGTGGCTCTCCTGATTGGAGCTCCCATTTCTCAGATGGAGAAACTGAGATGCAAAGAGGGAAAGCTAGTTGCATGAATGCCTTAAGTAGGAGGGAAAATGAGGCAGAAACTTCAGACAGAGCCTGTGCTTCTCTTAGATTTTATTTCTAGATTTAGGAGAAGGGGACAAAAAAAGATGAAAAACCAACTTTCTCTAACACTGGTGAAGTTGAGTGAACATTGTGCCACCAGGGGGCACTGTATGCAGGAAAATATTCCAGGAGGGACTGGACTCCTGGGTGTGAGGGAGGTGGGGCTGAGGCCTACCTACCCTTGGGTCTGAAGGAGGAGGGCTTGTGGTCTGGACTTTGGGGTGTGAGGGAGAAGGGGCTGAGACCCAGATTCCTGAATTTCTTCAGCAGGATATATGTGGGGGTCAATTTCACAGCCCCCAGGGCCTTAGCTAACTGGCCTGGATGGTTTTCTGTATCCAGTCAGTGAATTTGCAGAGGTTGGTGTAGACGCCTGGGACTCCAACTTGGCCACACTGGTCTTGTCCAAAAGACACAAGGCCATGCAGGGACTCATTGCAGATCAGGGGTCCCCCAGAGTCACCCTATTGTGAAAAAAGAGAGAGAGAGTCAGAATCTGAAACACAGAGAGGTGGATATAGATGTAAGATTGGAGCAGAACCAAATAAGACAGAGAGACAAGAACAACCCCCAGCAATATGCCCTTTGGAAGTTCTAGTCCAGAGTCATGACCAGCCTAATCCCGCTCCCCTAGGTCCCATGTCCTAGCCGCTGGCTGCTTCTCTTGGACTTGCTGTTGGTCTCTGTCTCTCTCTGTGGCCTGTTTCTCTGTCTTAGTGTCTCTGTGTGTCTCTACATCACTTTGTAGATTCTCAACTTTTCTCATTTCTCTTTGGGTTTTATCTCTATGACTCTGTCCGTCTCTCTGTTTCTTTCTGGGTATAGAGTTGACCCTTCAACAACATGGGTTTGAACAGTATAGGTCCACTTCCATGTGGACATTTTTGATAAATATATTGGAAATTGTTTTTGATATTCCCAACAGTTTGAAAAAATGTGCAACATTTTTTGTGCAACATTCAAATGCAAGAACCTAGAAATATCCCAAAATTTAGGGAGAAGTTAGCTGTGTCATGAATGCACGTAACAAATGTGTTGTTGGATTGTTTATGTTATCAGTGAAGCTTCTGGTCTAGGCTGTTAGCAGTTAAGTTTTGGGGAGTCAAAAGTTATATGCCCCCACCTTGTTCAAGGGTCAACTATATTTTTATGTGTGTTTCTATCTCCCCATGTCTCTATTTCTGTTCATTTCTTTCTTTACTTCCCTTTAATTCCTTGTCTCTTCACCTGTTTCTCTCTTTTTCTCTCTCCCTTTGCCACTATCCTTCCGCGTGTCTCTGTCCCCCCTTTTCCAGCTGTCCTCAGGCCACCTGCGCCTCCCCCTCCGTGTGGCTCACGTTGCAGGCATCCTTTTGGTCCTGTCCCCCGCCGGCACATAGCATGCTGGGGTGGTACACCGGGTCATAGAGCTCTCTGCACTCATCCTCGGACACCACCGACACATTCACACACTGGAGCACTGTGGGCAGTCTACCTGGGATACAGAGCTCTGGGTCAGCCCCCTCGGCCTGGCAGAGGATGCCTCAAAGAGGGGAGACCCTGCTTAGGAGCTCACCATTCACCAGCAGACCCCAGCCAGAAACGAGGCATGAATCCCCAGCGGTGGGGCATAGGGAGGCGACGCTGATGTCCCGGATGGTGTCAGACGGGGTCACTAATTCGTTCAACTTGATGAGCATGAGGTCGTTGGCAAGCAAGGGTTTGTTGTACTCTGGGTGTCGTATGGAAAGGTTGGCCTCCAGCATCCGGCTGCCTGGCTCCTGTCTGGCCTCTAGGTTGTGCAGGCCCAGCCCAATGGTATAGGAGCTGAGAACCACGGAGGGTGGGTAAGTTTTGTGGCAACTGCGTTGTTATCTCCATTTTCATCGTCTATCACAACGAGGATGGCCGGGTTCCCTACCCTGACCCGGTCCTCCTCGCCAATTTAACCATGATCCCAAATATTCAAAACAATCCAGGGATAAGAACTTGCCTTAGCTCGCTAGGGACTCAGCAGCTGAGCTGGGCTTTCCACTCAGGGCAATTCCCACCTCCCTTTCTCTCTGGACGCCACCAACCAGGCTCAGGTCCTTCCTGTGCCCAGAGCCTTCACACCTGCACACCCTACTAGGCCCGCCTCTCAGGTCGGGTTACACCCAGGTTCTGCCCCCAGGCCTACGTCCTGCCCGGCCCTCTCCACCCTCTCACTCACTCTTGGAAACAGTGTGCGGCTGACAGCACCCACTGAGGATGTACCAGGACGCCCGCGCAGAAAAATTCGTTTTCCATGAACAGTGCCGCCTGCCAGGGCTGCGAGTGCGGGCTGCAATCCTCGCCGTTTACGATCTGGCTGCTGGTGTCAGACGCGCGCGATCCTGGGGGCGGAGTCAGGGCTTCTAGGGCGGGGTCACGTCTGGGGGCGGGCATAGGGCTTCTGGGGGTGGGGTCACTATGCAGGGGCGTAGTCAGGGCAGTCAAGGCCCGGAGGACTAGACTTCTTTTGGGAAGTCGGGGCTCACAGGGGTTAGGGCTTAGCGGGCAGAGTTATGGGTGGAAGCGAGATCAGAGGACCCTAGGCAGGGTCGCATGAGTCAGGAGGTGGAGTTCAGCTTTGAGTGGCAGACCCATCTTTGGGACTTATACCACACTCAAGCAGCATGCCAGGCACAATCCCCACCGCAAGTGAACCTCTCACACAGGCGGAGGAAAGGAAAGGCAGACACAGCCAGACGCTCTGGGAGGAGGTCCCGAACGCCTTCCCTGGCCCAGGTTCACCCGCAGTCAGGCCCAGCCACTAGTCCTCCTCACAGAAACGCCATCATACATAGTCCTGGGACGTGGGCCCCGAGAGTCCGAGAACTGAAGACTCAGGAAGTAGGGACAGACTCTCCACGGCTCCCTCGGAAGCACGATCTCGAGTGTCGCCCCTCGGTTTACCCTGCCTCCCCTGCATCACCACCCTTTGGTCCCTCCCCAGGGCATCCAGAGGCACAAAGCTCAGGGCCGTTCACCCAATCACACACCGACCCTCAGAGGTACAACCACACATCCTGTCACACTGTCACACACGAATTCACTGTGATTGGAGGAATTACACGTGTACAGCCACAGGGGAGTGGTCACATGCTACTGTCTCACAGCCACTTTAGAGTCACAAGGAAGACACTGAGTCATGCCTGAACATTAACAAATACTGTCCCCCCAAGCACAGTCACACATGCATACTCAGATACCTGTGACACCAAGGATGAGGTACCCCAGGAACAAGCCCCAAGGTTTTTCCACTGTGGCCACCATGTCAGCACCTGAAGATGAGAACTGGGACTCAAGCAAATCTGAGGGTCTTCAGCCCAAGTCTCCCCATCTCTCTCTCTGCCCCCTTCCTCACTCCCTGGGATGTTATTGGGCTGGCAAGACCATGTAAACACACCCCCACTTTCACCCCAGATCCAAAACCTACAGACAGATTTAGAGACTGAGAGGGAAAAAGAGAGAGAGAGAGAACTAGGGAGAAAGGAAGGTATACAGTGCCTCGCCATCCGGCCATCTATGAACAGGCACAGCTGGAAGGGGAGAGGGCAGGGAGAGATTTCGAGTTCAGAGAGACCGACATTTAGCAGATATACTCAGAGGCAGGCTGAGAGCTAGAGACATGGAGAGACAGAGAGAGAGGAGAGAGAGAGAGATGCTCAGGTATGTATGTAGAGAGAGAACGGAAGGACACTCCTAACTAGTGTAACATCTCCCTGTCATAGCTAGGACAGTGAGAGAGCTGTTTTGAGAGATGAAAAACAGAAAAGGTCCAAGGGCTGAGAATCACAGTAACATTTAGCTATAGGGAGAGCCAGGTCACAAAGACTGCAGGCTTTTCAGTGGTGACCATTGAGCCTCTTACCTGGCCACGTCTGGGCTCCTGGATTCTGCTGCTAACTGAAGCTCTCGCTTACTGCCTCCTACAGGGGCCCCCACAGGGCTTATAAGCTGCATAGTCAGCCTGGGCTGGCCTGCCCCCCAGGGACACATTCCATCGCTCAGGTGCTGCCAGCTCAACTCTCTCAGGGTGCCTTGGTACCAGGAAGACTCTGGGTATCCAGAGGAGGCTGGAGCAGGGGCTGGGATGGGCGGAGACCTTGAAGCCTGGACTGCCCTGCCACATCTTTCTTGGTTCTCTCCCTCTCATTAAATACTCCCCTCCCTCCCTTCTTTCCCCTCTTCCATCTCTCTGCTTCTGTGCTTCCCCAGCAATTTATCCAGGGTCAAGTCCAGCCCACCTCAGTACTACCTTTAGGACTTGGGCAAGTGACCACACCCTGGTTAGCCTCCATCTTCCTATGTGTAAAAGCAGGGTAACCATTCTCATTCGCAAAGTGAATTAAAAGAGAGAACGAGCAGAAAGCGGCTGGGCTAGGTGGCCCACGCGCTGCTGGCTCTGGGTGAGCGTGAGCACGAAGCGCCTTAGCTTTGCGAGGAGCAACCGCGCTCCCGGGGTGGCGGCAGGCGCTGGGGCTGCAGAACTAAAATGCAAGATCCCCGCGCTCCTGGGGCTCACGTCCTAGAGGAGAGCACGGACAGTGAAGGATAAGGAACGGGACCAGACAATAAGGTGGTGGTCGGGGAGTCTCAGAGACGGGGACATTGAGCTGAGAACCAAATGATGAGCGGGAGGATCGGATGATTGGGTCTGGTAGGGGAGCATTGCAGGGCTTGGTGGAGGGTGGGGGTCAGTGAGGCTTGGTGGCGCGGGACAGGGCCTGGAGGCTGCCGCGGCCACAGTAGAGCTGGAGAGGATGAGGACAGACCCGTGCCAGGGTTTAACTCTCGGGATTAAGAACTTTGAGTTTTATTTAGGGGGGATGGATTTTAACCAGGAGGGAGGGACTGGCCTCATCTCCACTTTTAAAGCACATCAGCCTGGAGAACGATGGTCAGGTGAGGTGGCAGCAGCGCATGGTGGGAGGCTGCACCAGCCGGGGCGAGAGACCACGTGGTGGGGCGCAGAGAGAAGGACGCAGGGGTCTCTGTGCGGGCTGACTGGCTTGATCTGAGCACCCGTGCTGCAAAGGGTGGCGCCCTTTGGGGAGACGGGAACAGAGGTGTGTGTGGTGGGCGGGTGGAGCAGGGGATGCCGGCAGGACTGAAGGTGGGGATGTGGGATCCAGAGGGCAAAGGTCAGGGCAGGTGAGAGACAGTGGGGAGTCCTGGGGGAGAGCTGGGGTTTAGAGTCGGGCGATGAGGTCACCTAAACAGAGGGTGTAGACCGCAGAGCCGGCGTGGGTGAGGGGCGGACCCGCAGATGACGATGATGAAGCATGAATGTCTCTGAATGGCTCGGTGTCTCCCTGTCTCTCTCCTGCCTCTGGGTCTCCTTGGCTATCTCTGTCACTCCCTGCCTGTGTTTCTCTCCCTCTGTCCATCGCTCCTGTATCTCTGCTTCTTTCTGTCTTCTTTCTTCTCTCTCTTTCCCTCTGTTTTCCTATCCGTATGCGGTTCTGTCTCCCTATTTGTTGCGGTTTCTGTGTCCTTGTGTCTCTTTCTCTCCCATTTCTCACTGTCTAGCCTTCTAGCTTTGTCTCGACTTGTCTATCTGTCTGTATCCAGCTCCCAAGGGCACACAGGGTGCTGGGAGGAGCAGCTGTGACCACCAGGATAGGGAGGGGGTGTGGTGAGGGTTGACTGTGTCACTGGGAGGGCTCAGGTCTCATAGCAGCCAGATCTGACTAAGGCTGGGGTGGTGAGAGACTGTGAGCAGCCGCAGTACTGGGGAACAACAAGGTTGGGGGCTGAGGAGGGAAGGGTAGCAGGTGGCCTACCCCTATTCTGTGGCCCAGCCCCTGGCCTGTACCATCTTATCAGGCGAAGGTGACCCAGAATTATCTGGGTGCCATAAGCCCAAGACAGAGTTAGGGGAATCATGCTGTGGGATGCCTTCTGGTCTGGTAGGTGGGGACAGGCCCCAAGGGTCAGAAGCCAGGGTGGTGGAAGGGCAGGGGGAGGGGAGAGACAATGAGACAGACGAATGAAAAGACTGGGACCCAAGGACAGAGAAATGAAGTCACAAAAGGACACATGAAGACACACAGAAACAAAGAGGAACAGAGACACACAGAGATACAGAGGCACAGAAACACATAGAGAGATAACGGGAGAAACACAGAGACAGAGACAGACAGAAACATAAGAACAGAGACACAAGAGGTGGAGCCAGAGAACGCTGAAAGACAAGGAGAAGAGATGGAGGCCAAGAGAAAGTCACAGAGAGACAGAGACAAGAGGCAGAGAGAGATAGAGACAGGGAGATGAAGAGAAACAGAGGAACACAGAGAGATGGAGACAGAAAGACAAAAAGCAAAGAAAGACACAAATATACAGGAGGACACAGGGGGACACAGAACAGAGAGAAAGAGACAGGCACAGAGGCAGAGATAAAATGACAAGGAGAGATTACTAAGAATTCTAGAAGTCATTTAAAAAAGAGAAAAGAAAGATAGAGCTTTACTTTCCCCCCACTTGATCCATCCAACACCCCCCCCCCCGCCCAGGACCCTTCCCTCAATGAGTGGTACCCTATTCACCAAGGAGCTTGGGCCCCAACCCCGGGGTGCCCCTCAGATTCTTCTCTTAGTCACTGCATCCCCTTAAAGGCAGACCCACAGTAAGTATAATCCTGGCCTGATTATAATTAATTTAACACATTTTAAATGTTAATTAAATAATAGCAATCTATTATTATTGCTGTCACTTTTCCTCTCCCCATTGGTCTTCATCTTTTCCTCTTTCTGTCTCTGTATCTCTTTCTTTCTGTCCCCCCCCCCACCTTATCATCCATTCAACACATCAGCGGTGAATAGTTCTCACGGGCCCTGCTGCCACGGGGATCCCACACTAGTGAGGGAAGCAGATGGTAGAAAAATAAACACGTAAACAACATGTCATGTATATATTGTGCCAAGGGTACTAAAGAAGTGTGGAGGATGCTATGAGACAAAAACAAACAAGCAAAAAAAGGGAAGCCAACACTCTGAATTAAGACGTGACATTTGAGCTGAGACAAAATGATGAGTGAAGGGAAAAGTGTGAGAGGTGCATGGAGCAGACCACAGGATAGCCTAGAGGGGAAGGGAGTCAGGGCTGGGTAGAATTGGAGCTGTTTCCAGGAGCTATCTATTGGTAGAAGCAGGGAGCCCAGTGTGGGGGTATGGGGAATAAGGAGCTAGGCAGGGCCGGGGGAGACCTGGATGGGTCTGTGTTAGGTCGGGAGGCTGGGCTAAGTCAAAAAATAAAATAAAAGAAGTCATAAATCTCCTGGACACAGTGGAACAGAGGCTATCAGCTTACAAATGGCATCTCCTCTGAGGCCCAAGGGAGTTCTGGTCTCTATCTGCTGGAGTCTCCTAGTGTGGCCTTTAGGAACCAACCCCTGAATTGTACCTGGTGATGTCAGGGACTGCTGGTAGGCTGGATTTGAACAAACCTCAAAGGTGGAAGGGAGGCAGTGCCCTTTTTATTCAATAACATAAAGGTAAATTGGAGCAGATTCTATTACACAAGGAGAAGTGCTTTCCTTCCTTCGTATGGATGATGGGACATTCAGTAGGAAACACCCACAACCTGGCGTGAGTGGCTCCCTTTCCTGCTCCATGCCAGGAGAGAAAGGCCAGACTGAGTTGTGCAATTGTGGGATCCCCTCCAGAAGTGGGGGGTGGGTGGAGAGAGGGACTTTGGGAGGGAGAGAGTTGGAGCTCACTCCAGGTTGTGGGATGTGGGAGGCACAGGGAACACGGTCTGATCACGTGCAACATGGGAGACTAGCTGGGAGTGGGGAGGAACACTGGGGGTGGGGGTCTCCCAGGCCTGCTACAGCAACAGGTGGGGAAATCTCAACAAATGTTAGAGGAGCCTTGTAGACCAATGGCCTGAGAATCCCTCATCTAAGCTGAGTAGTTAGTGATCACCCTGTGAAGATTTCAGATGCACAGGGAACCCAAAGTAGCTGTGACATTTCCTGCTAGGTGGGCGGGTGAAGGCAGTGGGCTTGGAGAAGATTAAAATCAATCCAGATCTGTGCCAGCCAGTACAGCGGTTGCCACCCACTATAGTGGCAAGAGTGGTTAATACACTGGCCTTTAAATTTTAATGAGTTGAAATTCATTTAAATGTGAACACTGGCAAGGAAAGGGTGCTTTTTAATTTTAGTCCCTTTGATCAATATGGCTTTTTCCAAATTGGCTAATGGATCAAAATGAAACCTACCAATGTGAATTCAGTTATTGAACTTGTTACTTGATTTTGCTGGAATT